TCAGCAGACATGGGCAAAAGGAGAGGCAGTGTAAATGCTGACTTCAGGCAGCTGCTCAGGGTCCATGGCCAAGTCAGGTCCAGAAGATAAGAGCATTGAAGCAAGCCTGGCACTCAGGATTTCTTTTTTTGGCTGGGGCCAGGTTTGAACCCGCCACCTCAGTATATGGGGGGGCCAGTGCCCTATCCTTTGAGCCACAGATGCCACCCAATAATGATTTTTCGTGGTTTTGTTTTTGCAGTTTTTAGCTGGGGCTGGCTTTGAACCCACCATTTCTGGTATATGGGGCCTGCACCCTACTCTTTTGAGCCACAGGCATCACCTGATTTAAGATTTCTTGAAGTGGCTCGGCGCCTATAGCTCAACCGGCTAAGGCACCAGCCACGTACACCTAAGCTGGCGAGTTCGAATCCCCAGCCCGGACCCGCCAAACAACAATGACGGCTGCAACCAAAAAATAGCCGGGCGTTGTGGCGGGCGCCTGTGGTCCCAGCTACTTGGGAGGCAGAGGCAAGAGACTCGCTTGAGCCCAGGAGTTGGAGGTTGCTGTGAGCTGTAATGCCACGGCACTCTACCCAGGGGGACAGCTTGAGGCTCTGTCTCAAAAAAAAAAAAAGATTTCTTGAAGTGACTGGGTGCAGTGGCTCACCTATAATCTCAGCACTCTGGGAAGCTGAGGAGGGTGGATTGCTTGGGCTCAGGAGTTCAAGACCAACCTGAGCAAGAGTTAGACCCTGTCTCTACTAAAAATAGAAAAATTAGGGCTGTGCCTGTGGCTCGAAGGAGCAGGGCACTGGCCCCATATGCCAGGTAGTGGGTTCAAACTCAGTCCTGGCCAAAAACTGCAAAAAAAAAAAAAAAAAGAAAAGAAAAATTAGCTGAATGTTGTCAGGCTCCTGTAGTCCCAGCTACTCAGGAGTTGAGGTTGCTGTGAGCTAGGCTGATGCCATGGCACTCTAGCCAGGACAATAAAGTGAGACTCTAAGAGAAAGAAAAAAAAGATTCTTTGGAGCAGCCCCAACTGGCACAAACACTGTGTTGCCCAAGCGAGGCCAGGCCCAGCAATGGGGAAAAAAGGCTTGACTGGGTGCAGAGCCTGCCTGAGCTCCTGGCCACTCTGCTTTCCCTCGCTGACTTCTTGTGGCTCTTTGGTGAGTGGCTGCCCTTCTCAGAGCATCAGCCTATCCACAGGATGTGGGCCTATGTGCTGACATCCTGAGAGTAAGATGACAAGGCAGGTCTCCACCTCCATGTCTTCAAGGTCTTGGAGGCCCTGGTCCAGAGGAGCTGAGCCAGGCCTAGGACCCAAGTGAACCAGGAGAGGTGGCTGGGGCTTCTTAAACTAGATCCTAGAACTTTCCTCTCTGGTATTCAGGGGAGGATGCTGGTGTTGTAGCCATAGAGGCCTCCCAGGGACTACACAGCTGTGCCTGAGCTGACCAGAGCTAGAGTCACCAGGCAGCCACTTAGCAGACAGTATGTCATGCTGGTATGGAAGCCATACCCTGATGAGTTACTTGGTTCTGCCATCATCTCATCGAATCCCCCACCACCACCTGCCACCAAAGGTATGGATTTTAAAACTTCATAAATTCCACCAGCACGCACTGGACAGAGATTGTAGGGCCCCTGGAGCCCTAAAGGGTGAGCCTGGAGCTGGGTTGGGCTTTTGCAGTCACTCAAGGGCCCTAACTCTGGGAACAAGCTCCTTCAGCTTGCTGTGGGCTGAAAGAGAAGACAGAAAACACCTGGGAAATCTCATTCCCTTTATTCTCTTCAACTAATCAACATGACCACCGGTGACACAAGACTGTTATTGACACACAACACTCAAAAGTGGGGCCTCTCCACGGGGACCAGTCAGGTGAGTAGGGGGTTCCCTAAGTGGGGCAAAAGAATGTGGGAGCTGCTCCCCTCAAGGTGGTGCCATGGAACCCCACCTCTTGGTTGTGGCGGTTTTGAGTTTTCCCACCATTTAGGATTCATGCCGTTTTTTCCAGTTCCCATCTGACCTCCACATCCACAGCAGTTTCAAGTTTCACCCTCAACTCAGATCAGTTTCTACTCTCTTCTGTTTTCACCAATGACTCCCTGACCTGTGGGTCAGGCTTGGGCTCCTCCACCAGGGGTGCATCTGAGGGGTCTGGGCCTGGGGTTGAAGAAGGTTTGGCTACACTGTGCCTTCCTTACTGCATTCTGGTGCACAGATGACCTAACCTCTGGGTTTGAGCCAGTCAGAGGGACTCTGGATGCTGCCATATCCCTGCTGAGCTCCTTCCAAAGATGTAGCTCACTCTAGGAGGGAAGCACCTGGTTAAAGGAGTTTGGGGGGTGGGGCAAGAGAACAGGCCACACTCCAGAAGTCTCTGACTCTGCCCCTTCCCTACTGTGAAATGCCAGACCCCACAAGTCATGTCCACATCATCCATTCAGTACCAGAGCCAAGGCGTCCCTACAACATGCGAGCATCCTACTATATGTGCTACACCCTAGTCCTCAACAGGCCTACAGCTGGCCTTCATCTACACTGACCACCTCCCCTAAGACTGGCCTCTGAGCCCCAAAAGCTGCTCCCAGGACTCATGGAGGCAGATTCCTCAAGCCTGTTTCTGAGGGAATCTGCTCCTAGCTTTACAAGGGGTTTGTCTCTACAACTTAAGTGTCTGTCTGCTACCATCTTAGAGGGGGTGGGAATCTGCTTAGGATTAGAGGGTTTATCCCCTCAGTCTCACAGGGACACCCCCATAAAAGTGGATTTATGTCAGTAAGAAATCTGCAGGCAGGCTCCTCCCCTCAAAGTAGTGCTCTCCTACCTGGCACTTGGGTGGGGTGGGGCTTGATACAGATGTTATCAAGGTCTCCCCACAATCATGTGAGGCCTGCCTTTTCCCTATCCTTAGCAGGCCTGTGTTTCTTTTCCCATAAATGTTCTAGATTTCAGTCCTTTTAAATTTGAGTGTCATCCTTTTAGGGATGGATAGATGAAGGGTGAAGGATTTTCATCTTTTGAACTTTTAGGTAATGAGATTAGAGGTCTCTTCCATAGCTCTGTAGGAATCCAGGTCACCACTCTCCAGGGAATCAACTCCTGAAGGGCCACCTCACCTGGTGTCTCTTACTCCAGAACAGTGCTTTACTGGTGCCAGTGTGGAGTCAGTGAGCACTTCTTTCCAGCACTGAGCAAAGTCCTTTCCTTTTGTAAGGGGCTCCACAGTTAGCAAGTGAGAGTCTTGTTACAGATGTTTCTCTCAAGAGTTTTCCACCATCTGACAGGTTAATAATCTCGCCATTGCCACACACCTCCAGTCAGGTGAACAGATTTGGCTGGGTTTATGGGAGTGTTTGACTGTGTGGTGCATGAGGAGAGGAGATGGGCCTAGCAGGGGAGTGTTTCTCATAGTTCTGTATCCCTCTGAAGGTTTCTGGCTGAGGAGGAGCAGCAAAGTGGGTGGAATCCACCTCTTTCCAAGGATATTGGGCCATGTCAATACAAACTTAGAGGGCTCCAGGTACAGGCGTGAGGAAGATGGTCCGTAGACTCTCCAGGGACCTATGGTTCAGTCTGTGGGGTGTGCAAACAACCTCCACCACCCAGGGACCACTTATCCTGCAGGCAGCCTTGCTACCAGCTCAGATGAAAGGCTGAGGTTTAAAATCAAGGTGCTTGCTGGCTGATCAACTCTTTCTGTTGACTTGCTGTCTCTTGTTGCCACAGAGAACCCACATGTGGCTCATGCTGACTTGGAGAAGAGAAACTTAAGGAGGATAACCGCACACAGGCCTTGAGTCTCTGAAGGGTTTTATTCTTTGGAGGTCAACTAGCAGCGGTTCTCCCTCTCCACTGAGGACAGAATTCAAGGAAATGGGCTGCCACTTCAGCAAGACTGGTGGCAGTTAAGATTTCAGGAAAAAACTCCTGACAGTGAGACCTGAGAATGTGACAGGAAGTACCCCCCAGCCCTGGAGGCCTTGCAGGGGCTGGGGCAATGGCAGTCCTGCCTGGTTTGGGGGCCTGAGCTGGGATCTGCTTGCACTTGCAGTTTAGCAAGTTCCTGGGTCCATCTAACAGTTCCCCACCTTGGGTTGGTTCTCTCAAAGCCCTCTAACAAATCCCCCCCCTTCCCCTAATTTTTATGTTGGTTTCTCAGTATTCTTACACTTAAGTTTTATGCACCCAAAACTTTAGCCTTTAGAAAAGCTTGACAATTTTTTCTTCCCTATTTTCAGGCTCTTTTTGGTAAGGGGCTCCACAGGCCTCTTCCCCTAACACAAAATTCATCTAAGATTGGCTTTATATGCCAACGAACCCCAGTGCAATGAACTGGACTTTCTCTTACTCGTCTCTAGGTTTTATCTGCTATGTGAGTTTGAGAGCTTCTCATCACTTCTTTTCCTTCTCCTTGTTTTCTTCCTTTTCCAGTTCCACCCAGTTCCCATGCTACTCCCCAGCTGGGCATTTTCCTCAGTGTAACTGTCCAAGGCTGCTGGGAGAGATGCTCCCTCCCATGCTCCCATAGGAGAGAACACTGTGGAACAAGTGTGTGGGAGGTGTTTTCTACACCTTGAGGTTCACTCCTCCCAAGTCATACAGAAAATATATTGCTGTATTTTCTGCACTTCCCTGACCCTATAGGATTTTGGTAAGGATTTTGATATAGGGTTGTCTAGAGACATATTGGGGACCTTTTCCTATAATAGGGCTTTTATCCACTATGGTTTACAGGGTTTTTCTGCTACAGACTTAAAGGGCTTTGTAAAAAAATTTTCCTACATATTTATAGGGTTTCTAACCCAACAGTTTTTCTCTACTGCCTTATAAGTGGCTCCCACCAACAATTTATAGGGTTTCTCATCACTGACGTAAAAGCACTATTTTTGCCCAGGGTTATTTTTCTTCCATTCTCTACAATCTGATAGGGTTGTCCTCCTTTCCCCACATAGTATTTTTGGGGATCCAGTGTTCCTTTTGGGAGAGAGAGGCCCTAGCCTCCAGCCCAACTTCACAGGGAGACACCTGGGTGGCAGCTCCTGTGGAGGAGGAGGGCTGCGACTTCTGCGAAGCCATCTCCACATTCTGGGCACACATAGGGCTTTTCTTCCAAGAGGGTTTTGGGGCTTTCCCCTTGCCTGTGGCTGCTGCTCCCTGTAGGGATGGGATCCTCTCCCTCACTTTCTTGGCTTGTGGACAAGGTGGCTGGCTCTGGAAGGGGGTCCTCAGGTCTGGGGGACTTTTCTTGAGTGTGGGTTTCTTGGTGCCGCATCAGGGCCATGCGATCCAGAAAGGAGGCCCCACAATCGGAGCAGCTGTAGGGTTTGGCCCCCAGGGGGCTCCTGAGGTGCTCCAGGAGGACGGAAGAGCTTTTCCCCAGCTCTGAACTCTTCTGGGAGCTCTTCTTGCCTGCATGGACTTTCTGGTGCAGCAGCAGCTCAGAGCTGAGACCAAAGCTTTTTTTGCATTCAGGGCATTTAAAGGGCTTACCACTTAGGAAGGGACTGGGCCCCGCTCTTTCCCCTAGGCCAATCCTATAATCGGGAAAGAGAAAGGGCTTTTCATTGCCATGGGTGAGCTGATGTTGGAGGAGCACAGAACGATCCAGGAAGCTTTCTCCACAGTGGGAACAAATATAGGACTTGGAGGAGAGCAGCCCCAGCCTTTGGCTGAAGCTCTCTTGACCCTCGGGCATTTTAGAGGGCTGTCCTGGGGGATCACCTCTGCCCTCCGCAGCGCCTGGGTAGGAGTTCCCGCCAAAAGGGAGCCTTGGGGGTCGGAACTGAGAAGGTTTAGGGGCTGGGTGTGCCATGTGACCGTCTGCATTTTTATAGGGGTTTTCTCCAATATGGATCCTCTGATGCTGCATGAAGATGCCTTCGTCATTGAAGCCCTTTCCACAGACGAGACACTTGTGTGGTTTGGCTCCAGGTGGTTGAGTCAGGGTGGAATCTCCAATCCCCAGCACGGTGTCGCCCTGAGCTCTTCGAGCTGGGGTCTTCCCCCTCTCATGGATCACCCGGTGCTGCTCCAGCTCATGTGCCTCCAGGAAGGCCTTTCCACAGTCTGAGCACACAAAGAGGTTCTCATCCATATGGGTGCGGACGTGAGTGATGAGGTTCGAGCTCTGGCTGAAGCTCTTGCCACACTCGGGGCACTTGTAGGGCTTCTCACCCGTGTGTGTGCGGCGGTGCTGGATGAGATGGGAGCTGCGGATGAAGCTCTTGCCGCAGTCAGAGCACTTATAGGGCTTCTCGCCCGTGTGGATGCGCTGGTGGCGGATGAGAGTGGAGCTCATGATGAAGCTCTTGCCGCAGTCGGCACAGATGTAGGGCCTTTCCCCACGGTGGATGCGCTGGTGGTTGATGAGGTTGGAACTGACGCTGAAGCTCTTGCCACACTCAGGGCACTTGTAGGGCCGCTCGCCGGTGTGTGTGCGCTGGTGTCGCAGCAGCGTGGCACTCAGGGTGAAGGTCTTCCCACACACAGGGCACTTGAAGGGGTCCTCACGGAGATGAGTCCGCTGGTGCTTGATGAGGGTGGAGCTGTGGCCAAAGCTCTTGCCGCACTCGAGGCACTCGTAGGGCTTTTCGCCTGTGTGCGTGCGCTGGTGCTGCGTCAGCTCCGAGCTCTGGATGAAGCTCTTGCCGCACTCGGTGCAGCGGTACGGCTTCTCGCCCGCGTGGATCTTCTGGTGCTTGAGGAGGTTGTGGTTCTGGCCGAAGCGCTTGCCACACTCGGGGCACTTGTAGGGCTTCTCGCCTGTGTGGGTGGCTTGGTGCTGAATGAGGTCTGAGCTGCGATAGAAAGCCCGCCGGCACTCGCCGCACTTGTAGGGTTTCTCGCCCGTGTGGGACCGCTGGTGCTTGATGAGGTTGGTGCTCTGCGTGAAGGCCTTCTCACATTCGGTGCACTTGTAGGGCTTCTCGCCCGTGTGTGTGCGCTGGTGTTGCACCAGGTTGGAGCTCCAGCTGAAGCACTTGCCGCAGTCGGGGCACTTGTAGGGCTTCTCACCTGTGTGTGTGCGCTGGTGCTGCACCAGGTGCGAGCTCTGCGTGAAGCTCTTGCCACACTCGGAGCAGGTGTTGGGCCGCTCTCCTGTGTGGATGCGCTGGTGCCGCAGCAGCTTGGACCACTGGCTGAAGCTCTTGCCGCACTCGTTGCAGATGTAGGGCTTCTCCGCCCCAGAAGGGCGGCCCTGCACCAGCTCCCGCAGGCTGGGCTCACTGGCGGCAACCACAGGAGGACTGTTCCATGTGGTGAGGGTCCCCCACTGCCAACTGGCCTCACAAGCCTTGGTCCAGTCAGATGGGGTAGGGACTACCTCAGGGGCTGGGGACTCCAGAGAGGTCTGGTGGTCCAAGGGGCTGGAGTGACCCAATGGGGTTGAGGGGTCCTGGGGAACTGAGGGATCCTGGGAAGGTCTCTCCAGGGGCATCTCTGGAGGGTCCTTGAATTCTGGACTCTGAGCTGGATCTCCCAAGATGATCTCCTCCCCAGAACTTTCCTGCTGAGGGCTTTCTTCTTCATTCCCACTCTCAGCACCTACAGAGAGAAAGGGAATCTCCAGCCCCCATCTCCTTTCAGAACATGGGGTCTGGTCTTTCCACACCCCCTACCCATTTCCCCCAGAGTCTGGACTCCTCCCTGAACCAGCGCCACTGTCTTGGCAGGACCACAGTCCCTCTCGTGCCCCTCACCTCTGTGAGCATCGCTGGGGCTCTGTTCAGGACCCTGTGGATCTGGGCCCCACAGCACAGTCTCAGGCTCCATCCCAGAGCTCAGGACTGCAGAGGGTTCTGGGGACCCTGAGGGGAAAGAGAGAGATGAGCACACAATGGGAGCTGATTTTATACTTTTCTACCCTGAACCTAAACTCCCCAGACCTCTTAGCAGTTTCAGTGTCCTCTCACCCCATTTTCTGGGCACTGGTTCTCACTGTGGCCCCCTTCCCCTGCAGGTCTGATTCCTGCTCCAGAACTCAAGAGCACAACTAAGCAAGTAGGTGAATTTAATAAGAGTGTAATTAAAAACTCATCACCTATAACCCTTTGAACCCAGACTGGGGGCCAGAGAGGTGTCTGACACCTACAGGGGAGGGAGGTTTTCACCCTACACCTCTAATACCCAGAGGCTGGGAAACCTGTTATTTTGCTAATCAGAGGAAGCTCATTAAGACTCTAATTTTCCTCCTTAATGGGGCTGCTAATTGAGAC